GGGGATGGGCATGGAGGAGGGCACTTGTGGGGATGAGCGCTGGGTGTTATGTGGAAACTAATTTGATAATAAACTATTTGTAAAAAAAAAAAAGAAAGAAAGAAAGTGGAAAATACTCATGATAAAATAAATAATAGAAAACAAAAAAAAGTAAAAATGGTAGATATGTAATTATTTAGTTTGAAAAAGCCTTTGTTTACTTTTCCTTTAATAATATATTTAAATGTAACAATATAAAACAAACTCAGCAGAAAAATTCAAATATATCACTTACTCTAGACTTGGATATAACAAGGTAAAAAATAAATTTAAAGGAAGGAATTATTTTGACTCTTTAACAGTTCCTCCATCATCCTGATTTGTGAAATTTATAATAGTTTAGGGCTTTGTTAATTTGTGGCTTTACTCCTCATATTGTGCAGTCTCTGACCACCAGGTCAAAGAGTTTTATGAGTGTTTTGCTAATAAATGTCTTCCTGCTTTTTATAGTTGCATTAATTTGGCATAAAAGCATGACCTTATATGCAGCAGTATAAATGAAGAATGAATAGAAGTTACTTACAAATTAATGGCCTTGGCTTTGCTTAGTTAATCTTACAATGAATCCATTGCCAACTGTAATTAATGAGGGACAAACTCATGAAATAAATGCATTTAGGGAACTGGAAAAAAGAGAATAAGAACAATAAGCATTTACTTTCCTTTACTTTCCCCTTTTTATTACATGCATTTTTAGTAATGAAAATATTTAAAGATTTAATTAAAGTTTATGGACAGAAAAAAGTGAATTTTGAAGGGGATAGTATTAAAAATTAAAAATATTTTTTTGGTAGGAAATATCAAATGATGCAAAGTTCATTGATAAAATAAGAGAAAATAGAATAAGAAGCATTACAATAATAAGTAAGAGGAGATGAATTTGATGAGGAAACCAGTATTTTGTGGATCCCTTCATTCCAATTTTTTTTTAATTTTATTTATTTCTGAGGGAGAGACAGAGAGACAGACAGACAGCGTGAGCAGGGGAGGGTCAGAGAGAGAGGAAGACACACAATCTGAAACAGGCTCCAGGCTCTGAGCTGTCAGCACAGAGCCCAACGCGGGGCTTGAACCCACGAAGAATGAGATCAAGACCTGAGCGGAAGTCGGACGCTTAACCGACTGAGCCACCCAGGCGCCCCCATTCCAATTTTCATCTCTTCTGTTAATTCAAAACAAAATGAACAAAGTAAAAAGTCTAGATTTGCCATTCCAGAGACATTATTCTCTCATTCAACACAGGCTCTCCATTGTTCCCTAAATGATCTGTACATTGTTTTTGCTGATAAAAATCATTGAAATGCTTTCTCTCTGGTCTCTTCTTGTTTCTTTAAATCCTGAATTTCAAATCCAATCCACGCCCTAATTTGTTACAGTTTTAAAAAGACATCTCTCACAGGGTTCTTGTAAAAATTAAAAAAGCATGCGGCACCTGGATGGCTCAATACGTTGAGTGTCAGACTCTTGATTTTGTCTCAAGTCATGATCCCAGAGCTGTGGGATCGAGCACCACTTTCGGCTCCATGCTGAACGTGGAGCCTGCTTAAGATTTTTTCTCTCTCTCCCTCTGCCCCATCTCTCAACTTATGTTCTCTTTCTCTCTAAAATAAATAAAATAATTATTCTTAGTTAAAAACTTGTTTAGATGTAAAATATAGTTAAGTTTTATGTTGAAGTGATTTTTGTCATAACATTAACCTTGTATCATTATTTATACTTTGGATTATATGTTCTGTTTCAACAAATATAATATAGACCATTGAATATTTGTGCTTTGTCTCCAGTGTGGTTTCTATTGAATGTGTTCAATGATTTGTCACCATCACTTTCCATGTCCAAATTTGTATTCTCTACCATTAAGAGATCTATTTGGTTCTATTTTGAGCTTTGTTCCTCTTATCTCTCTGCAATGTACCAAAGAAATATGATACAAAGGCCATCAAGGTGAAACTCAAAGTTGCTGTCCAGCTACATCATAACCAATAGAACAATTTCTTCTGCATGCAATTTTGTCTCCGTCTCTGCAATCAAGACTTATTGTTCAGTCTTTTTCCTTGCTCAATTCAAGAACAAGTAGAAACTCAGATACTGATGTTAGTTCCAGAGAATTCTAGTGAATTATTTATAGACAAATTTAGGCTTTACACATATTTTTTCTTTCTTGGAAGACTGGTATTTGACATGGGGCTGGACAGCATAGTACAGTAGAAAGAAACTAAATTTGAGAATACAAAAGTACATTGTATTTCTTGATATATAATTCTTTTGTCGTATACTCTCAAAACTGCTCAAACTCTTTGTCCCTCACTTAACATGTAACTGTAAAAAGATCCCAAATTATGACCACACCTGGTGAGGAATTATTAGTCTTTACTCTTGTTGCACAACCTCTAATCAATTCTCAAGAATATAAAATGCAAATACTAGGATACATGCTCTTTCTATGGGACATAGACCCTCTTTTGCTATCGTTCACTATTGTGTCTAGATGCCTATGAGAAAGTTTCACTTTCCACGTCTTACACATAACACATCAAGGTGATTTATACCTGTTTAACAAAAATGAGTAATTTGGGGGTGGATATTGGGCTTTGGCTTAGTAATTATGTAATTTAGCTTTTGCTATGTAACAAATACTCCAAAATGCAGCGGCTTAAACCAATAGCACTTACTATCTGTCAGTTCTCTGGCTTTGTGCCTTTCACAAGGCTGTAATAGACATCATCCTGTGCTACAGTCAACTTAAGAATTGAATGGGGTAGGTATTCTTCCAAGATCATTTACAAGTTATTGGCAAGATTCATATCCTCATGGGTCAGTAGACTGAGAGTCAGTAGTTCTTCACTGGATGATGACTGGAGAACACCTTGAATACCTTTCCACATGGCCCTTTCCATAGTGCAGCTCTCAACATTAAAGCTTACTTCATCAGAGCTTGCAAAAAATAGGGCAGGAGAGAAATAATGAGCAATATAGAATTCAAGATCTTTTTAAAACTAATATCAAAAGTGACATCCCATTTATTTTGCTGTATTCTATTTTGCAAAGGCAAGTCACTTGGTCCAGCCCACACAAGAGTATGAATTTGAGAAGGTGGGTGTTACTGGGAACGATTTCAGAAGCTGCCTACACCCCTGATATTTTCTTAACACAACTTTAGGAGGTTAGTTCGGTTAAGCCATAGTTACTAAGGCGCATAATATATCAGGCAGTAGACAAGGATAAAATGATGAATAATCTACCTTAGAAGAGTTCATAACCTATTTTGGAAACTGATCGTTCTGATTCGATCATGCACAAGCTACTATATGGGAAAATAGAGATTCCTAATTCAGTCTGTGGAGTCAGGAAGAGTTCCCGATGGAGGAAATTGGGTTAATTTTTGATACATGAAAGGTGGAGAAGGGACAGCTTATCAAGCGGAGGAAAACAGCTATTCAAATGTACATTACAGTGTGTGTTCATTATAGTCTCCATGCTGAGCCCTTTAGACGATGTTGCAGCATAACACATTTTTTCCAGTGTATGTACAAAACACTGTAGAGTAAAAAGATATTACTAGCTATTATTAGTTTACTTCTGCTCACTAGCCCTTGGGTCATGGTGAGCTTTCCTGCTCCATAGGAGGTTTTCCTAAAGGGTTACTCTCCAGAACCCATCGCTCAAAACTGACGCTATCCAAACTCAGACTCTCAAGGAAATTGGAAATAATCATAAACTACTCCCCATACAGACTCCTAAGTGTTTGTAGAGACTGAGTGCCACTAGCTGTCCTAATACCCTTGTTTATCCTTATAAGCAAACATTCAAAGTAAGGTATAATAATGTTAGCCAATTTCCCCATAAATAGGAATTTTCACAGTTGCACCAATTCTAGAACTTGTTAATGTTGCAATATCAGTTTTTACTGAATAAAAAAATATTTGAAATAAAAAATTCACAACAAATGTGTAAAATTCAATGGACATGTTTTCTCTGCCTCTGAGGAATATTTTATGCTATTGGCAGAAACTTCCTTGAACATTTTCTTCCCTTGATTCCTCTGACACAATCCTTTCCTGGTTTATGTTCATCTTTGGAAACTCATTTATGTATCTATTTCCAAATCATTTATAAATCAGTAGATTCTAGTGTCTTGGAAGGAAGGCAAATATCACACATTTATTTAATATTAGAATTCAGAAAAATATATCTAGATTGTATTTCATTCATTCCAGTGGAGAGAAGAGTTTCTGCTTCCTCAGAAATTAGAGTTTTCTCCAGGAATGTAACCATTTCCTTTCTCCAGATTTGCTTGCTCTGGAAAGTTTTGAGTTTTTATATCTGTTATCTCCAACTTACACATAGTTCTAGAATTCTGTGGTATCAATTATTTCCCCATCTTTAAAAACTTGATAGCTAGTTCCTGGGCTACTGGGGCTATTAGCAAGAGCAGTAACTCAAAGACTTGGCAGGAAACAGTGCTGAGTCTGTAACCTGTGCTTATTTTTAAGGGAATAGGAATTTCCTATGAACATACTCTAAGTAATTATATAACTAGAATAAGAAGACAGAACAAATATAGCGGAACACACTTTCTCATTAACAAGCTTGGAAATTGTTTCTGGTGATTTTATTAGCCTCAAAACTAAAGGAAACCAACTGCATGGGCCCCCTAGTTATCAAAAACTGTGTCATTAAAATTAGCAATTTTTTTCTTATAATAACAACAAAAATGTGTACTAATATATAAGCAAATAAACAATTTAACTTGGATTTGGGGCAGGGAGCATTTGGACTAAGGACTCAGAATGTACTCATGAAATGTGGATCCGCAACTTAGCTGGATTATTTTTATTTTTAAGTAATCTCTACACCCAATATGGGGCTGGAACTAACAACCCTCAGATCAAGAGTCACATGCTCTACTGACTGAGACAGGCATGTGCCCCATAGCTGCATTATTTTGGACAAATTACTTAACCACACGAGTTTTCCAGTATCTTTTTCTGAAAAGTGGGGAAAATAGTAGCACCCATCACAGGAAATTTTGTGTGAATTAAAGGAGCTAATATTTGAAAAATGAATGAAAGAGCAGGTGGGATATATAGACAGTGTCATACACCTAAAAGATTAAAAGTAAAACAAAATAAGGGTGCCTAGGTGGCTCAATCGGTTAAGTGTACAACTTTGGCTCAGGTCATGATCTCACGGTTCATGGGTTTGAGCCCCGCGTCAGGCTCTGTGCTGACAGCTAGCTCAGAACCTGGAGACTGTTTCAGATTCTGTGTCTCTCTTTCTCTGACCCTCCCCTGCTCACTCTCTCCCTCTCTCTCTCTCTCTCTCTCTCTCTCAGAAATAAATTAAACAGTAAAAAAATTTAATATTTTTTTAAAAAGTAAAATAAAATGTCTCTTCAGTAGTAGATGATCACTATTTTTCAAATTGTAAAGGTGGTTTGTTAAAAATGACTTAACAAAAGAATTTTGATTAAGACTTTAGAGATCTCTGGGGCATGGTGATAATGCTCTTGACTGCAATCATTTCTTTACTAGAGATTTATCTGTCAGCAGTGGTAGTGGAAGTGGGCTATTAGTCACATTAACTCCTCTACCAATATTTATCATTATTATTTTGCTAAAACAGAACTGAGGAATCCATTAGACTAAATGTAAATACACACGGTCACCAATTCAATAGCTATATAGGTAGATATAGCTAGATGTAGCTAGATAAAATGTAATAATTTATAGATTTTTCTGATTTGCAGGGGCACCTGGGTAGCAGTTGGTTAAGAGTCTGACTTCTGATCAAGTCAAGATCTCACATTTCATAGGTTCGAGTTCTGCAACTGGCTCTGTGTTGACAGCTCAGAGACTGGATCTTGGTTCAGATTCAGTGCCTCTCTCTCTCTCTGACCTCCTCCATGTGCTCTCTCTGTCTCTCTCTCTCAAAAATAAATTAAAAAAATTTTTTAAAATTATTTCTGATTTGCATTTCTATAGTGATCAGTGATGTTAACTATCTTTCAGACACCAGTGGGTAATTTGTATATTTTAGGAGAAATTTCTATTGAAGTCCTTTTCCCATTTTTCATCCAATTATTTGATGTTTAAAATATTGAATAATAGGGGCTTCTGAGTGGGTCAGTTGTTTGAGCATCCAACTCCTGATTTTGGCTCAGATCATGATCCCACAGTGATTGGATCAAGCCCCAAATTTGCTCTTAGCATGGAGCCTGCTTGAGATTCTCTCTCTCTCCTTCTGGCCCTCTTCCCCACCTCTCTCTCTCTCTCTCTCTCAAATAAATTTTTTTAAATTAAAAAAATAAAATATTGAATTGTAGGAGTTCTTACATATTTTGGATATTAAATTCTTAATTAGATACAGAGTTTGCAAGTATTTTCTCCCATTTTTCAGGCTGCCTTTTTACTCTATTCATTGTTTCCTCTGTGGTATAAAAGCTTTTTTATTTCACTGGAGTTTCACTTGTCTACTTTTGCTGCTATGCTTGTATTTTTGGTGTTATGTCCAAGAAATCATTGTCAATAAAAAGTACCACAAAATTTTCCCCCCTCGTTTTCTTCTACAAATTGTACAGTTTCAGATCTTACATTTAATGTGTAATGAATTTTGAGTTAATTTTTGTGTATGGCATAAGGTTAGGATACAATTGCATCTTTAGCATGTGGATATCCAGATTGTTCAGAACCACTCATTGAAGAGAGGATTATATGCCATGAACATGTATGATTTATCCCTAGGATACAAGAATGGCTCAATACATAAAAATCAATTAATGGAATATACCACATTAGCAGAATGAAGGACAAAAATCATATGATTATCTCAATAGATACAAAACAATTTGACAAAATATAACACTCTTTCATTCATAAAGACTCTTAAACTAGGAATGGAAAGAATTCACCTCAACATGATAAAGGTCATATATGAAAAGCCAACAGCTAACATCTTTTTTATAATTAAAAAAATTTTTAATGTTTATTTATTTTTGAGAGACAGAGCATGAGCAGGGGAGGGGCAGAAAAAGAGAGACACAGAATCTGAAGCGGCCCCAGGCTCTAGGCTGTCAGCACAGAACTCAAAACAGGGCCGAACCCACCAACTGTGAGATCATGACATAAGCCAAAGTTGGACGCTCAACTGACTGAGCCACCCAAGTGCCCCTTTTTAAAAATTTTTAACATTTATTTATATATTTGAGAGAGAGAGAGACAGAGCATGAGTGGGGGAGGAGCAGAAAGAGAGGGAAACACGGAATCTGAAGCAGGCTTCGGGCTCTGAGCTATTAGCACAGAGCCTGACATGGTGCTCAAACTCAGGAACCATAATATTGTCACCTGAGTCGAAGTCAGATGCTTAACCCACTGAGCCACCCAGACAGCCCAGCTAATATCTTAACCAATAGAAAAAGCTGAAAATTTTTCTTTCAGATCAGGAACAAGGCAAGATTGCCCATGCTCACCACTCCTGGTAAACATGGTACTAGAAATCATAGCTAGAGCAATTAAACAAGGAAAAAAAAGAGTGGGGCGCATCCAAATTAGAAAGCAAGAAGTAAAATTATCTCTGCAGATGACATGATCTCCTATATGGAAAACCCTAAAGATCCCCTTCCAAAAAGTTTTTAAAACTAATAAAATATTCAGTAAAGTTGCAGGATACAAAATCAACATGAAAAACTTAGTTGTACTTCTATACACTGACAATGAACTATCCAAAATAGAAACTAAAGGGAAAATCCCATTTATAATAGTATCCAAAAGGATAAAATACTGAGGAATAAACTTAACCAAGGAGGTGAGATACCCCAGCACTAAAAAATGTAAAACATTGATGAAAGAAATTAAAGAAGTCACCAATAAATGGAAAAATATCTTGTGATAATAGGTCTTAAATCTTATAAGTTTAAGATAGTCCATATGAGGACTGAAACCTCCCTATACTCAAGCATTTTTCAGTGCAACTGAGTTCTTTGTTTTCTAATGCGAAACAAGACAATTACAATTCAGAGACAGAACAGATATATCCTAAGGCCTCCTATATGCCAAACACTTCCTACATGTCATTTCTACTAATCCTCTCATTCATTTATGCTATCGGTTTATTAACTTCACTATCAGAAAAAGAAACTGAAGTTCAGAGAGGTGTAGTGATTTGTCAACACTAATAAGTACTGTATCTGCAATGGGAAATTTTATCCAACTCCAAAGTACATATTATTCTTACTACTTTGTGTTATTAATCTATGAAGAATCTCATCTCAAGAGAAAAGGTACATTTATCATTTGTTTATGATTAGACAAGCATACTCTCACACAAACTGTGGCTGTTTCATGTCTCATTTTTGCATGTTTATGTGTTCATTTGATTGTTTTAATTTGAGGTTAAAGCTCCAACCTCTAAATCTTTGGTTTGGAATGCCTCTTCTCAGCACTGAGTCTGCACGTTCTTCTCCACATTGCACTGTACCAAAAAGGGTGTCTGACATTACTTGACTCATCTCCTAAGGAAAAGTCCTGACTTTTCTATTTAACATTTACAGGAATTAATTTCAATACAGATGGGACAAATGAGTGTGAGTATGAATGTGTATGTGTGTGTCTGTGTTAGTTAATGTCAAATAATGTCAAAACAAACTGATGTCAGAATTAATATGACCTGCATATATTGAGCATCAGTTTAGCTAGATACTTCTGCAAGAAGAGGGAGTAAGTTGAACAGCCACCCTCTTCTCCCATCTCCTGTTACGCCATGGCCTTTTATTGTCTCCCAAGTGGTTTTGTATGCAGCTATAACGTTTCAGGCAGTTAGCCTTTATGTAGGTATTCCCCAGCCTCTGAATTGCCTTATAGATTCATGATGGATCTGTCACAAAATGAACACAGATAGAATGAAAGTAATAAACAGAGATTGAAATTGGTTAAATGTACTACTATAGTGCTGCAATAATGTCAACCCCTTTCCCTCTCCAGCAACAGAGATTACAATTACTTGAAAAAACAAGTCATTGTTTTTTACTTTAGAATCTTTGGGAAGTGGCTAAATCTTCACAAAGCAAATGGTTTCTAGACAAACCCTTTGAGCACAGTGAGCCTTTTGGGCAAAAAAATTTTTGATCCCGTTTCTTTTTTATAGATTCTCACCAAAGGGGAAGGAAACCTCCTACCAACATACTCACCTAAGGTAAGAGAAGACTAGAGCTTGCTAACAGGCCTGGTTTCAATGGCATATATATCTTTCTTGCATTCTTATAATGAGACTGCTTTTACAGGGTGAACATATTTCAAATGTAAACAAAGAAAAAATAAGCTGAAAGCTGCTAATGTTAAGTTTAGAGCTTGCAGAAAATATCAGCTAGTGAAGAACAGCTGCCAGAATAAGGCTCTTGTACTCATGGAGATGATTTTTCTCACAAAACTTGAAAGAAATTGTAATGATGAATCATAAGCCTTGCTATAAATAAATTATGACTGCAAATTGCCAGATACAGAAATATTCTCATTAAAGTCCATTGTCTTTGAAGACAAAATTACTTCATTTATTATTTCCGTAGACTCAAACCAATTTAGAACAATTAAAGCCTGCATTATCAAGCATGGTTGATATGCACTGAAAATACATTAAAAGAGAAACAGGTGCTGTTCCAATTTAATAGGATCAATCACTGACTATCTACTATATGAAGCATGTTACTTTGTTGTGGAAACAGTTTAGAGTGTTCACTGAATGGATGCCAATTTCCAATCAGCCAAGGACAATGTGGCATCGTCTTATGCCAACTGATTCATTCATTTATTTATTCATTTATTCAATCAATCTTTCCACATTTCTACTGCACTTACTATGTGCAAAACAATTAACAAAGCATGATGAGAAATCTAAAGATGGCTCATGCATATTCTTTAGGAGAATAAAAGTGATACATGTTCAAAGACAGGTAATTTACAATTGAATTTGACTCACATATGTAGTGCCAAGAAGTTGAAAGGAATGATAACTGAGTTTTTGATTGGAGAAGTCAGGGAAGCCAATGAGAAATTGACATTGGGATACCTGGGTGGCTCAGATGGTTAAGCATCCGACTCTTGGTTTCAGCTCAGGTCATGATCTTATGGGTTTGTGAGTTCAAGCCCCATGTTAGACTCGGAGCTGACAGTGCAGAGCCTGTTTGAGTTTTTTTTTTTTTTTCTCTCTCTCTCTCTCCCCTCCTCTGCTATGCTCTCTCTCTGTGTCTTTCAAAAAAAAATTAAGAAATTGATTGACATTATGTGGACTGGGGACTGAAGACTATAAGATGACTCCAGTTTTTTGATATTAAACAAAAACATTCCAAGTAGAATGAAGAGAGGAAAACAGGGCAAAGAGAGAGGAATAGTGGAAAGTTTAGTCTAGAATGAATGGTGGAGTATTAAAGAAAGTTGTGCTAGATAAGATTGAAATAGTCAAAGTCAGATCAGAAGCTTAAAATCAAGCAAATAGTTCTAGATTTATTTGGCAAAGCAAATAGTTCTAGATTTATTTCGCAAATATTAGGCCATAGCTGAGAGTGTGTAAGTGGATTAACAATGCAATCAGAATGAGCAGAAGTATACGGGAAGGGTTCTACAAGATGAAATTACTAGGGTAACATTTAAAAGAATAAAAACACTATGTAGCTTCTAAATTAGTATGTGGAGAACTGGATTATAATAGTAAAAGTATACAATCAACCAGGAAGCAAAAAAAAAAAAAAGGATAATACATTGAAAATTAAGTAACTTCAAAGGGATGTTAATTAAGTAATGTATAATAAACTATGGAATGAGTTTAAAATATGTAAATGTACATATTAGAGAAAGAAAAAGTTAAAAGCTAAATTTAGAAAAGTAGCACTGTAAACATGGAGAATGTTGAAGGGGAGACAATCATAGAGAAAACACTTATTAATAAAGTAGAAAATAAGCAATGGTTAGGACCAAAAAATTCATATTTTGAAATATCTAATTAAAATGAGGTAGTTATGGCATGAGTGAACAGTAAAAATGTGAGAGAACATTCAAATAACCAAAGTCAGAAGAGATAAAGGCAACATTGTTAGAGGTGTTGCAGATAATCAACCAATGAACCAACCAAAGGGTAGTATGAGTCATTTTATGTCCCAAATTAGAAAATGGAAATTAAATGGGTGAACCAAAAATATAATGACCCAAACTGACACAGGTAGAAATTTAACCAAACACATAATTCTAGAACTATGAAATAAATTTAGTATGCATAATCAAATGAATAAGTAAAACTCTTCACAAATGCTCCTCTTGATTAGATGGTTTCATCAGTTGAGTTCTGCCAAATAGTCAACGTAGAAATATCACTCACCTTATGTAAAACTCTATTGGAGAATGGAAAAAGCATGAACATTTTATAGTTCAATATATGAAATGAGCCTAATCTTGAGTCAAAATCTGATTAAGAAGAATATAAGAAAATTACAAACAAGCATTTTCCCATACATCCTAAAGACAATATAAGCAAAGCAAATGTCACAGCATGGGTGGATAATATTACATTCTGTTCACTTTTGTTTATCACAGGAATTCAAGGTTAGTTTTGTTTTAAACTCAGTCACTGAAATTATTACATTATGTAGAAAAGGCATATGATGAAATTTATAATCCATCATGATAAAATATCTAGGTAAACCAGAAGTGCATGTCTTCTTCAAACCAATGAAAGATATGTACAAGAAACTTCGAGCAAAAATAGCAATTAAATGTTGATTTTTTTTCCTTAGAGATTAGGCATAAGTCAAGGATTCCCATTTACACCATTTGTGTTTAATATGTCACTGGAGAGTCCAGTTAGCCTAAAATGCCAAGTGTGTGTGTGTGTGTGCGTGTGTGTGCATGCATACATTCATGCTTCTGTGAACACACATTATCAGGTTTAGCAAGTATACTGGATTTAAAAATCAAGATCTAAAAATTACTGTATTTCTATACATAAACTCAATGAATGAGAAATAAATGTCATGTGATATAAAAATATCGTAAAGACATAATCTACCAAAAGTTTATGAAACATTTACTATAGCACTAAAAAATCTGAAAGGGAGAGTTATACCACATCAATTAATTGAAGTCGCCGATATTTAGTGACATTGATTATTCTCAGATTGTTTTTTAATAACATTATTTGTGATGAAACTTAACAAACTGTGAGGTAGGAATTTATGAATCTGTAAGAAAGGCAAAAGGCAAAAGTAGCTAAATAGTGGTCTTAATCAAATTTTCCTAGAAAAAAAGTATGAAGAAGGGGCACCTGCGTGTCTCAGTTGGTTAAGCATCCAACTTTGGTTCAGTTTCATGATATCATGTGAGTTCAAGCCCTCATAGGGCTCTGTGATGACAGCTCAGAGTCTGGAGCCTGTTTTGGATTCTATGTCCCCCTCTCTCTCTCTACTCCTCCCCTGCTTGCTCTCTGTCTGTCTCTCTCTCTCAAAAATAAGCATTAAAAAATAAGAAGAAAAAGGTATGAAGAAAAAACATTAAATACTACTTCCTTATTGTGAGTTTGAATATCAAAGTAGAAAATAAGGGGGAAAAAAACTCTTTGAAGCAGGGAAAAAACTAGGAAGCAAAGGTAATGCATTGTGAAACTGGCCACTGCTACATAAGGAGATGCGGCCAGTACTTTGGCCACACACGCTCACCTGAGCAGACTGTTCAAAATTGCCTTGTCTCAGAAGTCCATGCAGGAAAGAATAGAGAAGGCATTTATCTGTCAGCTCCCTCATACCTCTTATCTCAAATTTGGCATCGTGGGGAGATAGCCTGGCCTATGGGAGTGGATGGAAAAGCCTTGTCTCATGGATTCCCACATGGTACTTACATCAGAATCTAGAATAGTGGGAGGCACATGGGTGGCTCAGTCAGTTATGTGCTGGACTCTTGGCTTCAGCTTAGGTTATGATCTCACAGTTTGTGAGTTCTAGACCCATGTCACTGTTAGCGTGGAGCCTACTTGAAATTCTCTCCCTCCCTCTCTCTCCCCCTCCCTTGCTCACTTTTTATTTTAACAAGTTTTTTAAAATAAACTTTTAAAAAATTCTAAAATATTGGGAAAAAACAGAAAATCCAGGTGTTGGCATCTTGGTGATGATCACACACGATCGTTTATGTTGGAGTCAGGGTGGAGCAAGCATTTCAGGGGCCAGAAGATAATCGAAAGTAGCATATAGGAGAAATTCAATACAACAAAGTGGGAGAATTTTTACCACCTATCAAGAATAAATATTAAGCTCTAGTGATTAGGATCTTATGGTAATGGGGTGACAAATAAATCTAAAGGATTGTAAAGAAGCTCCTGAAATAAAACCAGGCGTATATGGACATGAGTTATGACAGTTAATTTGGGTGATGCTTATAATCCTCAATTTATTAATCTGCGTATTAGTTAAAATAGCATTGATTTTATGTGTTAAACTGTATCAAATTGACTTTATTAAATTGCGTGTTTGAAATATGACATCCAATGAAAAAATAAAACAAATGCAAATGTTCCTGTCAAGAGTATACGCTGTCATTTACATCTGAACCACTTCTAAATTTAAAAAATTAGCTTGTCCATATTTACACAATATGCTGCAAGGATTTTGATTAGGCTCGTATTGAATTTATAGATCAGTCTGAGAAAAAGCAACATTTGAACAATACTGGGTCTCCCAATCTATGAACACAATGCATTTCTTTATGTATTTAGGTCTTCTTTTATGTATTAATCAGGGTTTTACATTTTCACCAAACAAATTATATTTTGTTAGATCTGTGCCTAGATTTCTTAGTCCATTCAGGCTGCTCTTGAAAGAGGAATTTGGTTGCCTCCAATTTGACCTCAAACCTTCCAGCTGAGTTCTTCTTTCCATCTGGTGTCCTGGCTTGGGGCAAAGCATCCCCTGATGGGAACTGAAACTACCCCCTCAAGCAATAAGAACTCCCCTGAGCCAGCAAGACCTGTCCATGATTGACTCCAAGACAATGATAGATCCCGTCTTCACTGCCTACCTGCATGTACCCACCACATTTGCTCCATTTTCCTTATAAAAGTATTTTCTGCATTTTAGAGGCAGTCTTTGATATCGCAGTCTCCTGGGTATTAGCCTCACAGAAATAAATTCCTTTCTGGTTTCACAGTGGTGAGTGGTGAAACCTGGTTTGCCTGGGACCCCCAGAGCCAGGTGCTCTTGTTCCGCAGTGCCCCGGCTCCACTATAACAAAATGTTACAAATGGGGCAGCTTATAAACATCACTTATTTCTCATAATTCTAGACTCTGGGAAGTCCAAGATCAAGTTGCCAGCAGGGTCACATTCTGGTGAGGCGCCTCTTCCTGGTTTTAGCCAGTAATTTTGCTGTGTCCTCACATGGTAGAAGGGGCAAACAAGCTCTGGAGCCTTTTCTATAAGAGCACTAATGCTATTCGTGAGGGCTCCACCTTCATGACCTACTAAAAGTCTTACCTCCTAATCCTATCACATCATGGTTAGGATTTCAACGTATGAATGGGGCAGGATGGGGGGGAGGAGACTACCACAAACATTCTGAGCATAGTAGTAGGTGTGGTTTTTTTTATGTCACAAATGGTTATTATTATCATTATTTTTACTGTTAAAATTTTGAATTCCAGTTATTCATTGCTAGTATATAGATAAGCAGTTGATTTTTGCATATTGATCTTGTATCCTCTGGCCTTGCTAAATTTATTAATTCCAGGATTCTTTAGGTTTTTTTAAGTAGATAATTATGTCATCTATAAACAGAGACAGATGTATTTCTTATGTACTAAATCATTTCAGTAAATCCTTGAAAAAACATAATATTTATTGAAGGCTTGAACGTATTATTACCATTGACCAGTGATGAAATTCTAGGTAACAAAGCCTCTTTTGGATATTATTTCCTAGACCGACCAGCAGCCTGCCTTTGCTTATGGACCTTAATAAGTTTCTGTTAGTTTTGATTTTTATTTGCCTACAGAACTTTATCCTCATACTTCCAATCATATCCCAGTTATTTTTCTGTTGCCTGGACAGTGAGGCCAAAGGCAGTAAGGAGACCAGCCATCTGATTTGTGCCAAACATTCCCCTAATTTAGCCTTTGAAGTCCCACATCTTGAAAACTTCTCAGTTTCGCTTTAAATGGGACTCTGGTCATCCTTGATGTAGGATGATATGTATTTTAAGAAAATATGGCTCCTGCTATGAAAAATTACATTAAGTATTTCTATAAATGTAAATGCTAATATTTTAAGGTATAATGAATATGAAATACCATTCATCAATCTTAGCTGTTCTATCTCTTTTCAAGTCAAGTTATTTACTTTTTAGAGACCTCCTTCTGTAATTCGGTATATTGCAACATCTAATAATATAAATACTTGAATATTCAATGAATCCTTCACTTGATAACCTAGGAAATTAAGTTCTTTTTCACAAAATCTCTGTGCATGTACATTGCCCTAAAAATATCTATATAAGTTATCAAAAGGATGGCTGGCATTGAGACAAATGTATCTCCCATTTATCATATCTTATTGAGAAATGAGCTTCATTAAACCCTACTGACATTGCTTTCTGAAATTTTCCATCTTGTTCACCTCCCCCCACCTCTTATGAGAAAAAACTAAACAATATGTTGATTCTTGGGGCTTCTGGAAAACTCAGCATGAAGTGGAAATCCATGTCTTCTGGAACTTTAATTTTGATTTAGGCAATGGAAAGATTTTTTTTTTTTCTGTAGGTTACTTCTCACCACAGGATGTAGAAGATCCCTTTGTTTACATGACATTATTAAACAATGAAAAAAATGATGGTTCCTATGTAGGATTATGATTAGGATTATGTAGGATATGTGATAATATGGAAAGGAAGTTATGACATTACTAAGTGGAAAAATTAAGCAGATTATTAAGCAGTATATGAATTGTAATCCTGTTTTTAATACATATATAAGTGTGTTGCTGAGTCTGTGAGAAAATTCACCTAGTATTATCATGTTATTGCTGGGTGGTAAGATATAACTGGAGAATTTTACTAACTTCATTTTGCTTCACTATTTTTAAATGTCTATACTTCATATATAGTTTTAAATAAAAATAATGAAAATTACTCAACTAATCAAATTATAAAAATTACTAGTTTCAGAATATTTTAATGGCTGATGTCAAAGACATATGGGTCATTCAGGTGCACTGGATAGTCAATCAGGTGGCTTTAATTCAAATTCTGGCTCTAGTTCTTACTGACTTTGTAAAAAGATTTTCAACCATCATCATGAGCCTTAGATTTCTCATTTGCAGAATAGAAATTAAAATGTCTCATATGGATTCTGGGAATATGAAATAAGATTACATATGCAAAGATACTTTGAAAGCTCAACTGCTGTATAAATACCTAACATTGTTTTCAAATAAACATTATTTCGTGATTTTTAAACTGAATTAAATTTTCTTGTATTCAGATTTTAAGCTTACTTCTGGCTGGTTTGCATATTTGAAAGAAGAAAGTTAAAGCTTTGTTAAAATACAGGAAACTTTGTGTAAAGTCTTTAGTTAAACCCTTAGTGGAGCATAATATGTTTCTTATAAGGTATAAAAGTATCTCTTTATTTAAAATAAAATTGTAAGTATGTTTCAAAAAAATATTTTCCTAGCATTTATATATTTTTCTCTCTCTCTATATATATATATTTAGTGTTAGAAAGAGAGAGAGCACCTGCACAGTAGTGAGGGGCAGAGAGAAAGGGAGACAGAGGATTCGAAGCAGGCTCTGCACTGACAGCAGAAAGCCTGATTCAGGGCTCGGACTTGTAAACTGTAAGACCGTGACTTGAGGTAAAGTCAGATACTTCAACTGAGTCCCCCAGGGGCCCCTCTATATTTTAATATGTGAGTGAATAATTATCTCACAGAGCTCTATGGTTTTAAAACAAAAATGTTTCAGGTTAATTTAGAATTTTTTAAAAAAGTGTTTATTTCTGAGAGAGTGGGGGAGGGGCACAGAGTGAAGGAGACACAGAATCCGAAGCAGGTTCCAGGCTCTGAGCTGTCAGCACAGAGCCAGACATGGGGCTTAAACCCACAAATGGTGGGATCATGACTTGAGCTGAAGTCAGACCCTTAACTGACTGAGTCACCCCCTAGCCATTTTTATAAAATATCAGGCTAACAAGAGAAATATGCAGGGAAATTTGAAGTATGTTTTCAAATTCTTTGAAATTGTTGTCTTAAAAGGGACCAATCATGTTCTTCCATGACCATGTTGTTGGTTCTACTGATAGAGACTAGGATAACTGTGCCATTTGTCTAATGTTTATGTATTTAATTCCAAGTGAACATGGATATATTATGGAACAAAGGTTTGGTTTTATAAATACTTAGGAGAAATGTTTTCAGAATCTGGTCCTCAGAACACTGAATGGCCAAAATATTTTAAAGTCAGATTGATTTTACTGGTTATGTCCAGAATGTATTTCTTAATCTCATGTATATTTCAGCTTTTGATATTCTAATCTTCAGCAAAAAAATGTCAAGTTTTCTGATCGTCTATTTTTTTCTTTCCCTGATTATTAATTGGTTAATGACATGTATTCTCAACCATAGGAACTAGAGCACTTTACTAAGTGTGAGAATAAAGAGGAGCAGAATATGAGGTTACTGCCATTAACAAGTCCCAGATCTATAAAACATATTTCCTCCTCTGGTTAACAAGAAAACATCCTGAAGATTCTCTTCTTCCTTGTAGTCTACTGATATTGATTCAGTGCTTCATAAAATTTCAGAGGCCATTCTCTGTCCCATTATTCACCTTTCTACAGAATATAAATAGCCCTTAGCTATGTTAGGCTTAATTTAGGTTCTACACTTACTGATCTGGGACTCAATCTAAATCC